GCCCCGCCCCTTCTCACCCCCACCCCGACACGGCCCCGCCCCATCCCAGCGTCTGGTCCCGCCCCTTCTCACCCCCGCGCACGGCCGCGTCCCGCGCACGGCTCTGACCGCGCCCGCGCATCTCTCATCCCCAGCTGGGCGCCTGTGTCCGCTTCCGTGGTCGCCATGACGGCGGCCGTGTTCTTCGGCTGCGCCTTCATTGCCTTCGGGCCTGCGTTCGCCCTCTACATCTTCACCATCGCCACCGAGCCGCTGCGCATCATCTTTCTCATCGCCGGGTGAGGCGGCTGCGCCAGGAAACCCGGACGCCGAGACCCTCTCCCCGCTGGGGACTACCGGCGACTCCCAGCGTCCGCACCAAACGGCTCGGCCCTGGGGGGCTTGGGAGGGGAGAGGGGTTGAGGGGAGATCGGAGGCCCCGCTGCCCGGGCCCCTCGGCCTTCTGGAGGGGCTGCGACGCTGGGAAGGAGCTCATACTGCGGGGTCTTTTTGCCTGGGGTCCATGGGCGGGCTTTAATGGGTCCTGAAGCCCCTGAAATTGTGGATGAATTCATACCTGCTTTTTTCATTTTTCTGGAGAGAAAGCCCCTGATTTCCCTCAGATTCACAAAGGCATCTGTAATTCCAAAAAGGTTAAGGCCAGTAGAATCTAGGGCAGTAGTGCTCCTACTCTGCTCATTAGAATCACCTGGGACACGGTGCTTGAAAACACACCGGTGCCCAAGTCCTACCCCATATGAGCCCCAGATAATCAGAATGCTAGGGGCTGTGATTCGGGCCTCCCATGTTTTTTAGGTTCCCAGGTGATTCAGGTGTGCAGCCAAGGGGTAGAAACCTGTGAAAACACCGAAGCACAGCACCGTGCATGTCTTTCCGGGAGTTTGGTAAATACCGAACTCTGGTGGCGAATGTGGGCATAGTCCCAGGTTTCACCTGTCGGCGGCTCTTGCAGGGACACAACGCCGACCTCCCTCCCTCCCCCACTTCGAGTCTCACTTCCAAGCTAGACCGGGGAGTCCCATCTTATCTCAACTGAAGTGCTGCATTGAATGTGTCGTTTTATAATAGATTTGGGCAAAAAGGTTTCTAAAGCTTGTTGTGATCATTAGAATCAACATGGGTTGTTGTAAAAACCAAGCCTGGAAAACTGATCTGCATCAGAGCACAGGTTTTCAACCTCTGGGTTTTATACCAGTCATTCTGTTGATAGATGTCTAGACATTTTTCAGGCGCCCTGGTGGTAAGAGTTGTTAAGGGCTTGGCTGCTAAATGAAACTTTGGGGGTTCGAACCCACCAGCCGATCAGCGGGAATTGACTGGAGGGCAGTGGGTTTGGTTTGGTTAGACATTTTTCTGGAAAAGACACTATTATATTTGCAAATACCTGGCCATTAAATCAATAATTTTTGGTAGGTTTTAAGGATATAAAAATTGCAGTAGCCACTGGTTGTGTCTGTATTGTTTGGGCACATACATCATTGGTGGGCACAACATTGATTAGGAAAAGTAGGCGATAATTTTCCAGCCTGACGGTCTTTGGCAGATCAGGTCTGCAGATGTCCTTGCAAACAGCGTGGTCACTGAAGATGAGTAATTGTTAGAATCTCACTGTCTTGGACCACATGGAGAGGACTCAGCAGGATGAGTAGGAACCATTGACCTAGAGCATCACTCCCCCTGCCCCCCAGCCCTGGTGGCATAATGGTTAACAGCTCAGCTGCTAACCGAAAGGTCGGCAGTTCAAATCCACCAGCCGCTGCTTGGAAACCCTATAGGGCAGTTTTCCTCTGCTCTGTAGGGTCCCTATGAGTCAAAATGGACTAGACAGCAACGGGTTTGGTTTTTTGGGGGGGTTTATTAAAGAGTCAGGAAATCTGTTCCTTTTGAGCAGGCTTTTTCCTCTTTTAAATTGTTATTAATACTGTTTACTGACATTTACTTGTAATTCCCCTCCCCCCCCCCCAATTCGCAGAGCTTTCTTCTGGTTAGTGTCTCTGCTGCTTTCCTCCCTTGTTTGGTTCGTGGCGGGGACCACTGTTGGCCACAAAGATGGACCAGTACAGAAATACCTGCTCATCTTCGGGGTGCTGGTCTCAGTCCTTATCCAAGAAGCCTTCCGGTTAGCATATTACAAGCTATTAAAGTAAGTTGAAAGTCTGCTTTGTTTTTTATCTCCCCAGATAGATATGAATTATAGTTAGTACTACAAAACATTACTAGAGTCGGGTATTTGAGGGCCTGTGCTTTACCACATAATTCTCAGGCAAGGTTTTGGTACATTTTCAGCCTGAAAATATTGAGTATTCTTTTAACCTATGGGCATTCGTTCATTCTTTCAAAAAACATTTGAGTATTTGCTTATTGCCAGGCACTAGCCTAGGTAGTGGGGATACATCAATGACTAAGAGACAGAGTCTCTGCCCTCATGAAGCTTATATTCTGGTGGGAAGAAATAGACAACAAATGAATGAACAACAAAATACATTGTATATTAGAAGCAATAAAAGCTGTGGAGAAAATATAAACTAGGGAATTAGTCATTAAACAACAAAAAACAAAACAGTTTCAGCACTCAAGATTGTTAGAATTTATATCTGCTTCTCTTTGCCACCACCTAAGACAAAAAATTATTATGGAGATTACACTTGTCATTATTTTGACTGAATTAGGGCAATACGGGTTCATTTTGAAATGTTTCATATGGTTACAAATCTAGAATAGAAAAATATGTTTTAAAAAAAAAAAAAAAACTTTGGGTGTAAGCTCCCTTTCGGGGCCAGAAAGTAGATTATCTGTAGAGCGTGAGGACCTCACGTGAAACCACTGGCTGGAAACACAGCTTGAATGTGGACGGTATTTTCTCTCAGGCAGTCATGAGTTTGGCTTTGATTGTATAGTAATAGTGTCGTGACTAACGTGCCATCTTTTATCTTTTCTGCAAATGAGGTAATTAAGGCTCTCCTGTGAATTTCATAGACGTAACCAAGACAGAACCTCTACAGCATCTCTTATGATAGGCTTCTGATCGTTTGTTCTCGCCCAAATGCTAGGCCTTCTGTATTTTTTACTTTTTGCTTTTAATGACAGATAATTGGATTCCTTTTTAATGAGGCAATTTAACTTTCAAATTGATAGCCAGGAACACATTGCTTAGAAGGAAAATTCATATCTTAGAAAAGGGTTAAAAACGAAATTCCCATCAGTCCCTGGAAATACTAAAGAGCAACACGTATGAAAGATAACGTTTCAATTTCTATAAGAATACACCATCCCTAACAGATGAACACCCGGCTGTGGTTGAATGTTTCTGGTATATAGCAGTTAGCACCCTTCTACAATTTTAACTGTGGAATGTTACTATGATGCTCAAAATCAGCCTCCTTCTGACCTCTGCCCCCACTCAGAAGCCACACAGGTCCGTGAAATTTCTGCCACATGGTTGTCCTCATATCCCTTTCAAGGTTAAATGTTCCTCGTTTCTTTACCAGAACCCCAGAAGACGTGCATGTGGCTCCCAAACCTTTCAGTCTCTGGTCCCCTAGACAAGCCCCTTTTGGTCAGTGCCTGATTTTTGCCTGTGCTCAGGACCTGACCCAGTACTCTGCAGGTGGTGGTTATGGATTGAATTGTGCCCTCCCCCAAACGGCTGTCAGCTTGGCTAGGCTATGATTCCCGGTATTGTGGTTGTCCACCATTTTGTCATCTGATGTGATTATCCTTTGTGTTGTAAATCCTAACCTCTATGATGATAGGCAGGATTCAATCCACACGTTTAGGTTGTATCATGAGTCAATCTCTTTTGATATATAAAAGAGAAAAGTGAGCAGACAGGAGGGGGACCTCATACCACCAAGAAAGAAGCGCTAGGAGCAGAGTGCATCCTTTGGACCCAAGGTCCCTGTGCTGAGAAGCTCCTAGACCAGGGGAAGATTGATGACAAGGACCTTCCCTTGGAGCCGACAGAGAGAGAAAGACTTCTCCTAGAGCTGGCGCCCTGAATTCAGACTTCTAGCTTACTAGACTGAGAGAATAAATTTCTGTTTGTTAAAGTCATCCACTTGTGGTATTTCTATTATAGCAGCACTAGGAGACTAAGACAGTGGTCTAACTAGCTTAGAGGGCCCTGGCCGCTTCCCAGTCTTAACAGGGCACTGTACTCTTAATTGCATTGGGTTTTCCTGTTGGCTACACCATTGACTCATGTTGGCCTTTAATTTTCATATGTGATGGTTCTAATTTTGAAAAATACCTTACCATAGAATGTCACAATTGAGGTCGTGGGTTTAGTAACCCTGCAGACTTAACGCTTTCTAAAACTTGACTTCCCCAGAGTGCCTAAATGAGTACCTGCTGTTCTTCACTACCTTGTCTCCACCTGAAATGGCAGCCTTTTGATGGTGTTAAACTATGGTTCCAAAGGACCATAAGCTGATGGGTTGCCGTTTTTTATGAGGACAGTGAGAGAGTAGGGCCACGTGAGGAAGGAATTACAGATGTCAGTCTGAAGCTCATGCTGGGAAGTTCAGAAAAGCCTCTTTGGCCTCCTGGAGAAACCATGTTTGCTTTTCTGAAAGGACCTTTGGAAATTTGCAGCAGATGGTAAGACAAACCTGTATAAACAGGTGCCTTTGGAATATTATACAGAAATTTCCTAGCGAATTTTGAAAATGATGGATGTGTTGTAGTTATGTGTTAAAACAAGTTGGAGAATTATTATATGTCATTCTTGACTAACATTTGTATTAAAAACAAAACCCATTGCTGTTGAGTTGATTCCGACTCATAGCGATCCTATGGGACAGAGTAGAACTGCCCCTTAGGGTTTCCAAGGCTGTGTATCTTTATGGAAGCAGATTGTCAAATCTTTCTCTTGCAGAGTGCTGACCTTCTGGTTAGCAGCTGAGAGCTTTAATCACTGCGCCACCAGGGCTGCTTCATAACATTTACATAGATAGGTTTAAATTGCTCTCTTATGCTACACTGGGGGACTTTGGTTTGGTCAGTATTTTGTTTAACTATCTCTATTACCAAATTAGGTTTTGAACTTTTAAGTTTAAACTACTGCCTCAATCAGGTTTTTGCTATCTAAATTGGGTGCCAAGATTAAAAGGTGGAGAGTTTGTATTAGTTCTTACACATACATGGAATTGAATCAAATCTATCATTGCTGTCTAGCATAAATTTATTTATGGGTTGGGCCTTAGGGACAGTCACTTCATTGTGAATGAATGAATGAGTAAATTGTAACCTTCTGCCCAGCAGAGAGTTGTGTAGTGAGAAATTGGTTTTTGGCCACAAGCGGAAGCTCTTTTTGTATAATAATAGCAATAATAAAATAAATCCAAGTTATAACTCTGTAAATGGCCTGAAATAGATTTTTTGTTTTTTTGAAATGAAACTTTTGTAATTTAATTCGGTTTTTGTCTTATAATGCTGGTAACCATAAACATTTGGTAATAACAGAAAATCTTCTATTTATGAAAAAAAAATTAATGTAACCATTCGCAGTATTTCCTAAAAGACCTAGGTCTATATTTTTAAAAAATTCTAAAATGGTGAGTTTAATTTCTGTGTGTGTTCTTCTGCTCTCCCACTCTTACACACACACAGAAGAATCAGAACAAATAAGGAAAACGGTAGGATTTATCTGTAGTTTTTCAAAGTTTATATAAAAAAAAAAAATGGAACTTTTTTTTTCTTGGAAGCACAATAATAAATGAAACAAAGACTTTGCCATTTCAGCAAAATGGTCAGAATTAAAAACACTGCCACTTACAGTATCAGTCCTGGGTTCTTACCGTCAGGAACATGGAAATTCAGCATGTTTTGTACTTTCTCACTTCCTAACCTTACAGGACAGAGTAGAACTGCCCCACAGGGTTTCCAAGGAGTGGGTGGTAGATTCGAACTGCCCACCTTTTGGTTAGCAGCTGAGCTCTTAACCGTTGCGCCACCAGGGCTCCAAATGTGAACACTGAGAACTGTTAGTGCCACAGACCTTTCCTCCCACAAACTTACAACATAGAATGAGGAAGTTGATGAAACTTCTGAATTCATATACATAATAGGATAGTAGCCCTTGTGATAGTAGCCCTTTGCTATACCAAATAGCAAAAATCTTGTTCATTACTGAGCAATTTAAATAAAATAGAAATCCTCCAAAATTTATTGTTTCTATTATATTGATGCATTTGTTGATGGAGATTAGTATTCTATATGCCTCGTAAGCTCTAATTAGCCTTTAATTGTGACAGGTAAGTAAATATCTGTTTATTTAGGAAAAGTGGGCATTTGTGTTGGTGACTGCTCCAGAGAAACAAGAGTCACTTAATTTCTGGCTCATGTCTTCTCTACCAAGTGATGCCTCCTAATGAGAGCACAGAAATGGCAGATTGTTTCTTTTGAGCCTAGAAAAGCAAAGGGTGCTTTTCATTATGCTCAAGACTATGTTGGTTGAATTCTGCATTGCCTTAATTTAGTATAATCAATGATACTCATATTTCTGTAATGAGTAGACCAACTGTAATGAATATGCATACCTTGAAACTTAACAGAATGCCTAGAAAATAAGTATGTTCTGGTTAATTTCATTCTCTACTCTTAGAATTGGAGCACTGGTGGCACAGTGGTTAAGCATTCAGCTGCCAATCAAAAGGTCTGCGGTTCGAATCCACCAGCCGCTCCTTGGAAACCCTGTGGGGCAGTTCTACCCTGTCCCATAAGGGTTGCTATGAGTTGGAACCAACTCAACGGCAGCGGGTACTTAGAGTTAACCTAATTCCTTTTGGTTTCAGAACTTGCTAAAAAATCATTCTTAAATGTTTTGGTCCCTTGATTGCTTTAATACATATACTTCATAATAAAATATAATTTACATTTTTTGGGGGGCCGGATCTTAATATTGTTGCAGAGCTTTCCAGCCAGCCGAGATTAGTGATAGTGGCAATAGTGGAATCAGCTGGCCACACCTAGCGTTCCTCATGGTTCTGCGGGGTGGGAGGCTGGGCTCCTGGTAAGCCCTTGAGCTGGTCGTAACAGGACCATGGATAAGATCTCTCTGAAGATCATTCTGAGCTGGTCGTAACAGGACCGTGGATAAGGTCTCTCTGAAGATCATTCTGAGCTGATCGTAACAGGACCATGGATAAGATCTCTCTGAAGATCATTCTGAGCTGGTCGTAACAGGACCATGGATAAGGTCTCTCTGAAGATCATTCTGAGCTGGTCGTAACAGGACCATGGATAAGGTCTCTCTGAAGATCATTCTGAGCTGGTCGTAACAGGACCATGGATAAGGTCTCTCTGAAGATCATTTCTCGCTGAGTTGTAATCTGTCCTTTCAGCCACGTGTTCCCTTATCTCTGACGCTGAGGGTAGCATTTTATTCTGCAGGATACAATACCAGCACCAGACAGCTCTCACTCCTGAAGCCTAATTGGAGATATAAAACAAGCATGTAAACTATTTTGAGATCAAAAGGCCGTATAATTGAGTATCCATATGAGAGTTCAGACTATCAGTATTGTAGAATTTCAGAGCACGAAGAGATGAGTGATTACTAGTCATTGGTAAAGGCAGCTTCTTTGAGAAGTTGCTGCTTGAACTAGACTTTGAAGGATGAGTAGAATTTAGGTTCCATGAAGTGGAAAGTAGACGGGAGGGTGGCAGAGTAAGTATGTCCCAGGCAGAAGATATAATAAAGTACCACCAAAGTGGGGATGAAGGTATAGTACTTTGGAAATTCAGTGTGGTGGATCCCATACAATACTGGATTGAATATATCCTGAGCTCAGAAAGTAGAGTAGTGCCTTTGTTTTTTTTTTTTTCCTTTTAAATTCAGTGCCTGATAGCTTGTTTATGTAATTTTTCTTATTTTTTTCCCTTTATGTGAAACTCAGCAAAAGGGCAAAAGTTAGTTGGGAAGTTTGGTTGACTTTAGTTACTTGAAAATTTGCTAGATTTTGTTTAAGTGAATTTCAGACTTAGTGTATAACCTAACCAAAAGCCTCAGTAAGTTATCTGAATTTAAAGTATCTTGTGTATTTTCCAGATATATTTCTTTCCTTTTTAAAAATTACATGTATGCTTTTATTTTAGAAAAGCCAACGAGGGTTTGAAGGCTATCAACCCAGAGGAGACAGCACCATCTATGCGATTGCTGGCTTATGGTGAGTTAGGACTGGGTGACGCCATTTAAAAAAAAACAGGGATTTTTATCTTTTGTATCTTGGTGGATTTCAAATAATATTTTATCCTGCCTTGGCCTGTTGGTACACAGTATTTGTTTAGTTGTCCGACTGTCCAAGGCCCTTATGTAAAGGGAAGCATTTGCAGGTGAACGCTTATCTATGTGTTTATTAACTAGCAACCAGATTTGAAAGCTAGGTTTTTTTTTTTTTCCACCTATATACACTCTGGTTAAGGAGCCCTGGTGGTGCAATGGTTAAGCACTCGACTGCTAACCAAATGGTTGATGGTTTGCACTCACCCAGGAGCTCTATTGGAGAAAGACCTGGCAATCTGCCTCTATAAAGATTACAGCCAAGAAGACCCAGTGAGGCCGTTCTGCTGTCATGTGGGCTTTGCTGTGAGTTGGAATTGACTCAATGGCACCCAAAAGCAATAACACACTCTAGTTAACTAACAGTTTCTGAGTGATGTATCTGCTAACTTTCTGAATGTTTACCATGACTCTGGCTGTACTAGGAGAACTCAGTATTAACGCAGTTAATAAATCTGCATGTTTTTCTTTCAGAGTTATGTTTAAAGACTGGGCCCTAGGTCAGATCACTCACTCTGGCCCAGGGACCACTCCTTAAAACACATGGTCACACATGGAGCTAATGCCAGCGCTAAGCCATCAAACTAACTCTGCAGACTCTGTTATCATAAGCCAAAGCTGGAGGTTCACGCCGTGTCTTCCTCTCTGTCACCGAGGCCTCCTGCCTTTCCAGAGCTTCCTTTCCTCTCCTTTCTTGTTTCTCCGTGACATTCCACTATGCGTTTCCTCTCCTCACCCCGCTTCTGTCTTCGTCATCTGGCCGAGGGCCACCTTTCCGAAGCCAGCTTTCTGATGCTTCGCCAACAATGTGTGCACCCTCTCCTCTTCAACAAAATGGTATCCTTGGTCCTTGGAAATCTGATTTGAAAAGAAATCACAGCGTGAAAAGGATTGAACAGTGTGTTTTCTTTCTCTTCAGTTTCTGGCTTGGGCTTTGGAATCATGAGTGGAGTGTTTTCCTTTGTGAATACCCTGTCCGACTCCCTCGGGCCAGGCACGGTGGGCATCCATGGAGATTCCCCCCAGTTCTTTCTTCATTCAGGTAGGTGCTGGGCAGCTGTGAGTGTTCAGGTTTCTAGTCTGTCTTGACAACATTTCACAAGTTTTAGCTATTCAGTCTGCCATCTTTTCTTTGAAGCAGTTCAGGGTTCATTCTCATTTCACGAGAAGGACGTTTAAAAATGCAAAAGAGGCAGTGGCTTCCCCACAGCAGTGCAGTGAGGCAGGGCAGAAGCTGGGACAATGTCTAAGTTGTCATCCTTATTGGAGTTCACTGTCTTAGGAGTTCAGTGTTGTGTTTGTCTCTAAAGGCAGAGTACTGTCTGGCACTACAAAGTGAAGGACCTAGGAAAATAAAAATTTTGATTAAAGTGCTTTAGAATTGTAGAGTGGAATTTAGTTTGTGTAAAATTTATTTTGATTTTACTGTACTAACAGTGTTGCTGTATAGATTAAAATGAGCTCAGCTGCTAATGAAAAGGTTGGCAGTTCAAATCCACCAGCCGCTCCTTAGAAACTCTGTGGGGCAGTTCTACTCTGTCCTATAGGATCACTGTGAGTTGAAATTGACTCAACAGCAATGGGTTTTGTGTGTGTGCTGGTGTGCTTTTTTAGTACTTATTAATACATACACCCACTCCTCACATATCAACATGGTTAGATTCCAAAGACCAGGTCATTATTCGAAAATGGGCATTATGTGAAAATGGAGGATGACCACATCAGATCACAAAATGGAAGATAGCTGCATCATCACATAACTGCCAAATTTATTACTTTTTAACTTATGTTCGTCCTGCCCATAGCACACACACTTGGCAGGCAAAAGACGGGAGTCCAGCTGAGCCCAGTGATGTGGGGATGCAGGGTGCCCCCTTGCGCTCTTCCAGGAGTTTTGGAGCTGGCGGGTGATGCACCCGCCATGGCAAGTCTGCTCCCACCCCCTCCTCCTCTTGACTCCTGTTCCCCTTCTTCTGTCCCCTTGCTCTCAACTCCTCCCGCACTGCCTCTCCCTCCTTCCTTCTCCCTCCACTCTCTGGCACTCCGGGTCGGGAGCTAGTTGGGGTGTGTGAGCTGGTGCTAGATAGAGCACAGCTCCACGGAGCCAGGTGAGTCGACCATGCTGGAGGGACCTGAGCACAGCAGGTGCAGGCCTGGGGCGGGACCACATGGGAGTGCCGAGCTGGGGGCCAGGGGCTGTTCCTGTGCAGCCGCCCCATTCCCAGACAGGCCGCCAGCCCTCCTGGCTTGCCCCCACCACTCCGTGCCACCCAGAGCTGGGAGCCGCCACAAGCTGCCGGGAGCTGGGCACCTGTGCCTGTTCCCAGGAGCCCAGGGTGCTCCCCCCACAAAGGCTGGGGCTGGTATGGGCGGGGTGACACCGTGGGTTTCTGCAGTGGGTGACACCGACTCTAGTGATGCCACTGCAGCCAGCGTCACTCTCACCTGGTACCCTGGCGTTCGTTACTGCCAGATGTGCATCGTTAGTGAGCAAATAGTGGAATTTTCACCATCGTTAATCAGCATAAAATGTCAGATAAGGAGACGGTTGATAAGTTGGGAGTAGCTCTGTGTATCTTCAGTGTAACCCTCGATCTTTAATTTGTCACCCGGCCCCGTTTTGGGATAAGTAGTGCAGTGTGATCTTAAAACTGAGAAGAAGGAAAAAGTGATAATAGATAAACCGATCTTTTTATCCAAAGATGCAGCGTGAAGGAACCAACTCATTTCAAACTGCTCTTCCATCTGCCAGATAAAGAGGATTGTCTTGATGCAGGATCGCAGATCTGAGAGTTGGTCACTGTCTCGTCATCCAGTGCTGCCGTAGCAGACGCACCACAAGTGGTGGCCTTGACAAACGGATTTATTTCTCGCTGCGTAGGAGACTTAATTCAGGGTGCTGGCTCTAGCGAAGGTCGTCTCTCTCTCGGCTCTGGGGGTCTTTGTTCCTTGTTCCTTGGTGATTTTCATGTGGCCTGGTATCTGTCTTGCCCCATCTCTGCTTGGTGAATCTGCACCTTTTATATCTCAAAAGAGATAAACTCAAAACACATCCTACACCAGTACCCCTTCATTAACATGACAAAGAAAACTCATTCCCAAATGGGATTATAACACAGGTATAACTCAACCCATTGTCCTTGAGTCGATTCCAAGGGGTTAGGATTTATAACACACTTTTTGGGGACACAGTTCAATCCATAATAGTAATATACATAATTACCATAAGGCTTCCTAAAGTCTGTAAGACAAGTCATAAAAAATGGGAAGAAATCTACTGTTATTTTTAGTTGTCACCACAAGATCTATGTCGTTGAAATAAGTGACCCCATGCATGCATTCTTTTAATTAAGTCACCGTTTAGTTTATATCCGTGCTAAAGTAATTTCTTCTCTCAAGGATCTTTTCTCAAGGAAATAAGACAAATGTGCAAAAGAATAAAGCGCATCAGAGTTTCAGTAACGGTTTAAGATGATAATAGAAAGGATGTAAGGAAATAGGACCAATTTTAGAAGGAATTGTGTAGATAGTAATTGCTGCAGCTGTCCAGAGTCATCGTACATGCTGCAGGGGTCGCCAGGCCCAGCGGAACAGGTGCTGTCTCCATTCTCAGCAGAGCCTTTGTTTCCCTGTCAGTTCAGGCCTTGTCATCTCCTGTCTAGATTACCACCATCAACCCCCAGCTGGCCAGTTTTCTTTCCATGTGAATCTCTCCTGGATGCAGCCACCAAACTCCTCTTCTCTGTTCAGAAATGTTTAATGGCTTTCCAGGATCTACAGGGTAAAGTCAAGGCCCTTCATAATCTGGCTGCAAGTCGGAGGATGGCGGACAGCGTTAGTGCGTCATACTTGCTGAGTGGTGCCTCCAGCATAGCAGATCATCTTCTTTACAACGTTCATGATTAGAATATTTCTGGCACATTTTTTAATGATTATAAAAGAAGTGTTAGGTTTTAAAAACAAACTTAGTAGCAAATTTAATATTAGTACAGTCGTTGCAATTTATTATTTTAATCAATTAATAAAACAATTACGAGGTAGTGTTATTGCCACAGTTTTTATATGTTCTTAAATTCGTCTGTTACACTGCTACATAAGCAGGCTTTTTTTTTTTGGTCATCAAATATCATTCTCCTAATAGAAATTGTAGTCCCTGGGTGGTGCAAACGGTTAACATGCTTAGCTGCTAACTGAAAGGTTGGAGGTTCGAGTCCACCAGGAGGTGCCTCGGAAGAAAGGTCTGGTGATCTACTTCTGAAAAATCAGCCATTGAAAACCCTATGGAGCACAGTTCTGCTCTGATACACGTGGGGTCGCCATGAGTCAGAATCCACTTGATAGCAATGGGTTTATTTTTATTTTTACCCTATGAGACAGAGTAGAACTGCCTCCTAGGGTTTCTAAGGCTGTAGTCTTTTACAGAAGCAAATTGCCATATGTTTCTCTTGAGGAGCTGCTGGTGGGTTGGAACCTCTGACCTTCTGGATCGCAGCCAAGCACTTAACCACTGCACCACCAGGGCTCCTACTTATTTTTCTGCCAGCTTCTTTCACTATTGTTGTTCGGTGCCGTCAAGTTATTCATGGCCACCCCATGTACAACAGAACAAAACGCTGCCCGGTCCTGTGCCATCCTCACAGTCATTGCTACATACGAGCCTATTGTTGCAGCCACTGTGTCAGTCTGTCTCATTGAAGATCTTCCTCATTTTCACTGACCCCCTACCTTGCCAAGCATGATGTCCTTCTCCCGGGACTGGTCCCTCCTGATAACACGTCCAGACTACCTGAGACAGAGTCTCACCATCCTCCCTTCTAAACAGTGTTCTGGCTGTACTTCTTAAGACAGATTTGTGTTCTTCTGGCAGTCTGTGGTATATTCAGTATTCTTCACCAACACCATCATTCAGAGGCATCAGCTCTTCTTCAGCCTTCCTTATTTATTGTCCAGCTTTCACATGCATGTTAAGCAATTGAAAATACCATGGCTTAGGTCGGACGCACCTTAGCTCTCAAAGTGACATCTTTGCTTTTTAACATTTTAAAGAGGTCTTTTGCAGTAGATTTGCCCAGTGCAATGTCATTTGATTTCTTGACTGCTGCTTCCGTAGGTGTCGATTGTGGATCCAAGTAAAATGAAATCCTTGACAATTTCAATCTTTTCTCCATTTATCATGATGTGCTTATTGGTTCAGTTGTGAGTATTTTTGTTTTCTTTATGTTGAGGTGTAATCCATACTGAAGGCTGTAGTCTTTGATCTTCATCAGTAAGTGCTTCAGATCTTCTTCACTTCCAGCAAGCAAGATTGTGTCATCTGCATATCACAGGTTGTTAATTAGTCTTCCTCCAATCCTAATGCTATGTTCTTCACATAATCTGCTTCTCAGATTATTTGCTCAGCATACAGATTGAGTAATATGGTGAGAGGATACAACCCTGATGCACGCTTTTCCTGATTTTAAACCACAGAGAACCCTGTGGTGGTGCAGTGGTTAAGCATTTGGCTGCTAACCAAAAGGTCGGAAGTTGGAATCCACCAGCCGTTCCTTGGAAACCCTCTGGGGGCAGTTCTGCTCTGTCCTGTAGGATTGCTAAGTCAGAATCGACTCGACGGCAGCGGGTTTGTGTCTTTTTCCTTTCTTTTAGTATCTCCTTGTTCTGTTCCAGCAATTGCCTGTTGGTCTATGTACAGGTTCTGCATGAGCGCAAAGGAGTGTTCTGAAATTCCCATTCTTTGCAGTGTTATCCATAATTTGTTATGATCCACACAGTCAAATGCCTTTGCATAGTCAGTAAAACACAGGTAAACATCTTCCTGATATCCTCTGCTTTCAGCCAAGATTCATCTGACATCAGCAATGATATCCCTCATTCTACATCCTCTTCTGAATCCGGCTTGAATTTCTGGCAGTTCCCTGTCGATATACTGCTGCAACCGTTTTTTGAATTGTCTTCAGCAAAATTTTGTAATATTAATGATATTGGTCGATAATTTCCACATTCTGTTGGATCACCTTTTTTTGGAACGGGCAGGCATATGGA